TACATTAAAAATGCAATTAGTTGTTTACAGGAAAACTTTAACATTTTGTTTTACTCAAACACATAACTACTGACTTCAAAAGCATTTATTGTGCCATAAAAAATATTATGTAAATGTTTTAGACAACACAATGCCAAAGTTTTAACTTCAGAACAGTTAAAACAGCAATATCTAGTGCAGGGGTTCTCAACTTTTTTTTACTTCGGGGCCCACTTCTTTCTCTGATCAACCTGTCTGACATTTTCTCTAAAATGTGTGTAGGAAATGCAAAATATAAAATAAAATAAAGTAAAATATATTATATATATATATATATATATATATATATATATATATATATATATATATATATATATATATATATATATGTGTGTGTGTGTGTCTTAGTGAAATAATTATTAAACTATTAAAACTATTATGTTTAGAAATGTGTTGAAAATATCTTCTCTCTGTTAAACAGAAATTGGGGTAAAAAATAAGCAAACAGTAGGCTAGTATTTCTGATCTCAGCTGTAAATATATATTAACATAAATAGATTCAAAGAGAACCACAGGTCAACAGGGAGATTGCAAAAGACCAGGGGCCTCATGTACGAAGACTTGCGTGGAAATCTTACTAAAACCTTGCGTACGCACAAAGCTGTAAATGTGCGTACGCAGAAAAAAATTCAGATGTATGAAACACTGCGTACGCCGAATCTCACGCATATTCTTTTGTACATCTGAATGAACGTGAAACTGAGCGCAATATGCACGAGCACAAAACCCCTCCCTGCCTCCTCCCCCGTATGAATATGCTAATGACTATGCTAATGGAAAAACCCAACGAAAAAGCAAAGGCAAAAGCAAGCAAAAAGAGAAACTTTGAACAGAATGTGAATTGGAGGTGCTGCTTTCGGTGGTAGACCGGAGAAAAGCGGTGTTATTTGCAAGTTTGTTCTCCGGAATTAACAACAAAAGAAAAAATAGAGTGGGAGAGTTTAGCTGATGCGGTCAATACAGTTGGGTCTGAACATCGCACTGAGTGCATTAACAAAAGAAATAGTGTGGTTTATAGGTGTAAAATGTTGCAGTACGCTTAACAGTCTCAGTGGCGCTACTCATAAGACGAATGTGATCATGAATTGATACGTTCGAGCATGAACTCGGCTCGAATCCAGCGTCTGATGAACTCTTTCTTGTTTTTTCCTCCGCTACATATAAGATTTTGCCAAATATTTATCACGAGAAAGACAAGTAGGAATCATCAATAAGTTCATATCAATAAGCATCATATTTTATTTGCACATTTATTGAATGGAAATGTTTCTGATTCACGCATGCAAATTCATCTTCAGATAGTGTCTTTATAGCAATGTGCGTGCGGTAGATCGCTCAGATTACATTGGGAAAACAGGCGACGGCTGCAAATTGTGCTTTAATGTTTAGCTGGTCAAATGTATGGTATGGAAACCTTATATACCTGCTGAACCCGTCTCATACAGCTGCCATTGCAAGGCTCAGACACTTTGTAGAAAGGAATTTAACACAACTACCTCTAGGAGCCGCCAATGGAAATAAAACAGACCCGCACAAAAAATGTGCGTACGCCTGCCATAAAGCTGCCGTGAAGCTGCGCACATTCCCACGTTCAGTTCATTGTTAGTAAATCCAAACGTGAGCGATTCTGAGCGTGAAACCTGGCGTACGCAAAGTTTTTGTGCGTACGCAGTGTTGATACATGAGGCCCCAGCTTCTGCTTTAAACTGGACTGACAGAATATCTACTATTAAATATCCACTATTCAAAAATATACAGACAAATGTAAAATACAGTAAAACACCCTAAATCTGTTGAGATCCGATGATATGATGGCGGTTTGCAGCTGGATACTATTGTGAGATCCCTTACAGGAACAGTGAACAGCTCCGTCAGAGCGCATCTGAAGCTCATATGCAAGCTTATTTAACAGTCCATGGCAGATACACCAATATGCCTTGCTAGATCCTCCTGTATGAGCGCACGTCCATTATAAAAAATTCGCAAGACATTAATTTGGACAACTATGTGGATATATTAAGTAGTTCCCACAAAAGTACACCAAGAGAGACTTTTACTTTCACTTCACGCATAGTTTGTAAATAAACAGACTAGTTGCAGACGCGATCATGGGGCTGTTTTGAGTTTGAAGTAATTAATCACCAAACTGGAGAAAGCATATTTTTCATGAAATCCTAAAATGATAGTAAAATATTGAGAGTTAATTTTGAAGCTATCTCGCGGCCCACCGGCAGGATGGCTGAGGCCCACTATAGTTGGCCACGGCCCACCAGTTGAGAATCCCTGATCTTGAGGAATACCTAAACCTAAAAACACTTTAGATTACAGTTTTTTTTTTTATTGGAAATTTTGAAGTAATAATATTAGACTTTTATACAATACAACGAATATGAACATTTTACTTAACCCCATACCTAATAAATGCAGTAAAACTAAGAATTATCATTTGATCTCTTCATTTTTTTTCCTTCTTCTTAGCTTTATGCATGATTGTGTGCAACACACTGCAAGAAAATGCAAAGAGGAACAACCTGTACCAATAAACAGCACACGTAGATGTGAATCTAAACGAGACAGAATATACCAATCTGGAGACCTGAGGCAGGGGAGTTTAGCGGAGGTCGAAGGACAGAGAAGGTACCAAGGGAACAGGAAAGGTAGAGATTCTACCAACATAACACCTAGAGGGGAGATCCGAGACTTGAGAAAAACCGAGCGCACACAGACTGTAATAACTGATACAGAGATACATCAGAATAGCAGAGTTTTTTGGAAGAGGAACAGACAGACTCTGCCAGCAGGATGCAGAAATGATGAGCCAATCCAAGGCAGACTGTGCCAAAAGATCCCAGAGTGCGTGAAGACCATTGGGGATATGTTTGGAACTGTGTACTAACATATTACTCTTACTGTTCCTGCAGTGTACAGTATACTTGGATGACCTACTAAATCTGCAGTACTGTGTACAACAGAACATATTGCTGTGTTTCCCCCATAATGCAGTGTGCTCATGTTGACCTTCTATTTAAAGAGCGACAAGTGGACTGGAAGCAATACCAATCCCTATTTTTACCATCTCCTCCTTGACTCATTTTTTTTGATGTGACCACTAAATGATGGCACACTAGTCTCATTAATACCGGTCCACTACATTGCAAAAAATAATTAAATAAGTCAAGCAGCTTCTAAATATGATTTAATAAGTAGTTCTGCCTTAAAATAAAGTATGTGCACTCAGTCTCTCTCTTAATTTTTATTAGCTGGCCCAAACTTGACTCCAACTTTAAAAATATTATAATATTTTGAAAACATCAGTTGCACTGACTTAAAATGTCTGAATTTGAGTGAACAAAAAAACTCATATAATATATATGAGAAATAATATATTATCAGAACAAACAAGCATAGTTCAATTGAAAAAAAAAAACTTAGAGACAAATGTAAACAAAACATTTATTAGAAACAAATTTAGAAACAAGACAGGAGGTAAAACTAACATCAAACTGCTTAACTAGACTATCAAAACATGGCAGGACAAACAGAAAAATCCTTTGTAATGCTTCACATGTGAAGCATGCCTTTTTTTACAGTTGAACTATGTTTGTTTGTTCTGATAATGAATTATTTCTTGTACCAATTTCCAAAAGAGTTTTTTGTTCACTCAAATTCAGTAATTTTAAGTCAGTGCAACTGATGTTTTCAAAAGTTAAGTCGGTGCTGATGGTGTAGTAGTTAGTGCATTGACACATGGCACTCCAGTGTCTACAGCAACCCGAGTTCGATTCCCATTCGAACCTTCTTCTCTCCCCACGCTTTCCTGTCTGTACTCTCTACTGTCCTTTCAATAAAAAGTGGAAAAAAAATGTTAAGAAAATAAGGATTATATTTTTAATTTTTCACTCAACTTCAGACATTCCAGTTCTGCAGACAAAAATTTTCAGTTGGCACAACTTAAAACATTTTGTTACAGAGTAGTTGACCTCTCCAGAAAACTAATAAGTCTATGTTAACCCAACTAAATGTTTTTCTATTACAAACACATAATTTTAGGCCAGTGCAGCTGATGTTTTCAAAAGTTAAGTGAACAAGAAAAAGCGAATGTAAATAGGAATTATGTTTTTTTTTTTTTTTGTAATGACTTAAAATATTTTACAGTAGAATTTTATGTTATTTTCCAAGTAAATACCTCAAAACAACTTAACGATGCCTAACACATTTGCCTTATCTATCTCTAAATGGACAACTTTTTTGGCATGGTCAGTTTGTCTACATTTTTGCGAATCTGAAATACATTACACGAGGTACGATTTGTTGTACGTTTCAGATACACATCCCTCTTGTACATGTCATCATCCTTCTTGTACATGTCATGCACTCTATCAAACCACTGACCTAATCTCTCCCCTAAACCCAACCAATAGGAAGGGAAGGCAAGGCAGGGCAAGTTTATTTATATACAGTAGCACAATAATAATTCAAATAGCTTTACATAAACAAGAATAAATGAAACATAAAATACAAGAAAAAATATATGAAATAAAAACAACAGAGAATAAAAAGTATTAAAACGTGTTTTAAAGGGGAAAAAAGAAAAGAAAGGCATAATAGTGTGATCTGACGGATGTAGACATAAGAAAAAAGTGCATTGCGACCACATAATTTAACTTGACTTTACATTACTATTATCCTTTTTGTGGAACTGTGTATCGCTGAACTCAAACTTAAAGCGCTCTGCATCACAAGTACAACACCATAAAAAATGAGCTATTTGTCATCTCAAATATGCAACAATACAAACTCAATGCAGCATATTTTAGATTTGATGTATGTTTTTATGATGAGGCTGGGTTGAGTTCTTTCCTGCTAAAGGTTTTCCAGTTTTCAGTGAAGCTGCAGCATTGACATTTATATATTATCATTTATCCTTAATGATTTTGTATATATGTTTATGCTTTACACAGATATTAGAGATCGTCGGAAGAAGCCTGTGATGTTGTTCATCCATGGTGGTTCATTTATGGAGGGAACGGGAAACATGTTTGATGCAAGCGTTCTTGCGGCCTATGGAAATGTGATTGTCGTCACTATGAACTACAGATTGGGTGTTCTGGGTAAGTAAAAACATCACAGCCCATCTTGAAATGCCCCGTTTGTGTGCTAATTTGTCTCCATGTACCATAGGAGAAACAAATGCTCAAAGCTGGCATCTGAAATCACATACTTTTATACTATATATTGGGTGAGAAGCGGTATATAATAAACAAAGCACTGTTACTTCAGCGAGTTCAGCAAATGAATTAATAGTATAGCTAAATATAAATAGTATAGTTGTATAAATAGTTCAGCAAGTGGAAATAGTATGAGGATGACAATATGGTGATTGTAGTGCATCCAGATTACATTCATGACTGTAAAGAATGTACTTCTTTGTGGTTGTTTACTTGATAGCTGGCACATTTTTAAAGCTAGTGTACTATTTTTAAAGTGTCTGAAACCTTCTTTCCTTAGATTTCAAGATAAAATCCAAATTTGTCTTCTTTGTTTTGTCGTCACACACCTGTTGAACATGCTATTTTTGGAATTTTTTTTTTTTTAATGAATAGTGACTATCAAGCTTCAACAATGAAATAAACACAGTAACAGTGTCGAAATATCTGCCCCTCCATCAGAACTGTCAGGTTTCATGCATTTGTTTAAATGGCAGTGTCAAGTCAAATTGCACCAGATTTGACAACAGCGGTTGCTGCTCACACCAGAGCTGCCACAACATGTCTTGGCATGTCATTTCTGAATGTAAATAAGTGCAAATGAGATTTGAGCCCTATTGTGTTGTATCAGAAGACTGTTGGGGGGATTGTAATATGGCAGGCTTTTTTAACATTTAAAGGTGGAGTAGGTAATTTTCTTCAGAAACATTTTGTGTTGTATTGTTAAAAGCCTCTTTACATTCTAATAGCAATGATTAAAGAAAATGATCTAAATGTGTTTAAATATATTTTTAGATTCTGGGTAAGGCATAAGACTAAAAACATTCGTCCAATTAAAAATCGTCAGGCCGACAAGCAACTCAATTTCAGCCACTTCACGCAAACAGAGCTGTTATTTGCGTGTTCACGTAAAGCAAGGCCACCTACAGCTGACAGAGAGTAACATCAGGCAAACTCAACCTGATCTTCTTTCTGAAAAAACAACATGGCCTTGTATTCATGAAAAGAAAGATTGTTTTTAAAAGGGCTTCTGCCAAAAATGCAGAAACAGAATTTTTCTTAATCCTGAAGCAATATCGGAGATACTTTTGTACGCTGAAGGGAAATGACGTTATTTAAAATAATGATCTGAAGGGTGACACCATGGCTGAAGTATTACTTTTAGACAGGCATGTTTTAATTTTATTTTAGTCACGCAAAGCTTATGTAGATTGTGTTCTTGTTTATGATTGGGTTTATATGCACAGAGGTGTTTTTCAGCCACTGAAAACGTCATGCGAAAGATTGACTATTTTGAAGTTCATGGAGTACCTTTTACAGCACCGATAATATAGTCTTTTAAATAGACATAAGCATTCGTGTAGCTGTTCAATGCAAAAGAAGATGAAAACAAGTGCTGTACAAGGATCAGCGAGCACAATTGAAAATGAAAAGTAACTCGCTGACATGAAGACAGGATATTTCTGTTTTTAGCACTCCTTTTTTTTAGCTTTTTTTTTTTGCGAATAACGAAACATAAGTAAATAGTGCTCTTTAACCTAACCAGCTTTACTGAGGTGAAGTTTGATTGATATTCGCACATTCATACAATTTTGAAAAGTGTCAACCTGTGCCACACTCCCACACTAACGTTACTTTGAATATTCAGTCTGAAATAGCATATAGTATGACTTCAAAACAACATCAGCACTATTTAATTGACTGTGAACGATGTTGTATTGTATAGTCATTGCCTGAGTTTATGATACAACTATTTAGAATTTGTAAACAATACATTTCTAAAGCTATATTATTAAGGAGAACGTGTGAATGTGCGAATATAAAACCAACTTTACCTCAATGCCAGTTTTGGGAAATATAATTCCTCATCAACTATGCTGGAAAAGTGCATGTCTTCATAGAGATTTCTAACTGGTGAATGACTTGATCTAGTGTTATATAAGGTTGTGTATTATCATCAGATCATCATCTATTAGGTGCACGTTCAAGCTTTCATGACTTAAGGAGGCATGGCTTTGGACAGCAGGGGACGGATGTAAATTTTCAAAACTATTATGCTAATGTTAGCATTCTGGCAGATCACCAACTGCACTTTCAATCTAAAAGAAAAATCATAACAGCACCCATTTTAAGCTTCTTTGACTAATCTTTACTAATAAGTACTAGTCATTTTTTTTTTAGGTATTGGCACCTTTATGAATAGTAGATTAGTTTTTAAATATTTACAACTGTCTACAGTATGTAATGATTTAGCACTTGTATCTAATAGTGGGTTACTACTATATTTTTGTAGTAACAATATAACAATCACTAGACACTACTGAAATAAGTACTATACTGTATCTGATAAGTAGGGCCAGATGGAATCCGCAGACATTTTTTGCTATTTCTGCAAAGAATTTGTTAAAAATCTGCGGAATGATTTTAGGAGCATCATAACTAAAACCTTAATATATAAAATTAAGTTTCTACTTGTATTTAATGTTTACAATAAAAATCCAAATAGATACTCTTTATTTGTTAAACAAAAAAAATCTATCATATAATAGATCTACTAAAAGAAAATGTTACTTTACAAACTATATTGTAAATAAATCATATAAATATTTTCATATTAGTCAATAATATTATTGAAATTAATAAAAAAAAACAGAATAATTGTAAATGTACACACATTCACATAAGTAAATAAACAGAATCATTGATGTGCTAAAAATCTGCGGAATTCTGCGCGCGCAGATTCTGTGTGGGCCTATTAATAAGTCCTAGTATCCAACAAATAAGTGCCATAATTTAATAAATTGTAGTATCTAATCAATTTATACTATATTATCTATTGAATAAGTGCTAGTACCTAAACAATTTTAGCATTATTAGCTAATAAATAAGTACACAAGTACTTAATGCAAAATAATATGTACTAGTACCATAGGAATAGATACTGTTATGTTTTAAATATTAAAATAGCTTGCCATATAACATTGATTTATATAAAAGTAACTTAACCTTTAACTTTACATTTGATATTTGACATTTTTTAATGATTATAAAATCATAAAAATGAAATCTATAAAGGAGACTTTTTCACTGAAACTCTTGTTGAAAAGGTGGTTGTGAATGGAAAGGGGTGACGTTGTGGCATTGCAAATGTATAGAACTCAGTTATTGCATTTCAAAATCTATTTTGTGAATGATATAATCCCATCAGAGAGATTTTAGGAGAATATTGATTCTATTCTCTCCATTTTTGGGAGTATTTTTGAGTCATTAGCCTCCTAGATGTGGTGTTCAGCTCTTCTTCAACTTTAACACATTAAGTGACCTCATCTGGAACTGAAGAATTACAGTAACTCAATCAGGAAGAAGAAACGTCTGAAACTCTAGAAGTGGAGTACTGCTCTTTGTCAATTTAAAGATATTGAAAAGTGATTTTAGGATATAGGAATTACAATAACCCAATCGGGGAGAAGTAAAAGCCCATATTCCGCTTCCAATGGCACTAAACTCTACAATAGACACAATTATGACCACATTTCCTAGCTGTTAGTAACTACATTAAAGTATGCTGAAGTTTCCAGCTAGATTTGGGTGTCGTATTAAAGATATATGAGGAATGTTTCACATATGGCGTGAGAGAACTGTGTTTGGGCTGTTTGCGCACGGAGATGGATTTTCAAAGTTCAAATGACTTTGTTTTTCCATGAGCGCGTAATGAATGCAGAAGGCCAGGGTGAGTTTACCTTCAAGAATGACAGATTGAATATAAATCTAAACAGACTAAGATGGTAAATGAAACAGTTCCCTGTGGAGATGAAGTGATCTGAGGGAATCACGGTCAAAGTCGTAACTGGAGTTTTGGTGTGTGTTCTCGACTGGGTTTATTTCATATGCTGATCAAACGCTTTCTGTATTAGCCCTTCTCATATCGGCTGGAGTATGAATGGTTTCATGTGCTTAAAATATTTCTGTTTGATGAATACTAGCATTCTGTTTTGAATGCAGGCTACAATAAAAAAATTTTAAGTATGTGGTAAACGTTTTAAATGGTTTTCAACATTTTGGTCACATGACTTTAATACACTATAAACATATGTGTTAATTGACATGTATCTGATCATGATTCTTAGGTGTTTTTTTTTTACACTTTTAATTTGTATATTGGGATTTTCGCTACAAAAAATTACTTTTCATGATTTTTTTTTGTCTTTGTAGGAGTCCATCTATTAGCCCAATGACGAAACTAACAGCATGGTCGATGGTTTAATGCATGTAAGCCTTTTCTAGTGCTTCTGAAAATAATTTTATTATTTATTAGAATTTATTTATATTAGTTTTTTAGCTCCGAATTCAATCTGACTCCAATTTCAATGATCCTAAAATTTAGATTGTATTTCTAATTGTAAGAACGGATCACATTCATCATTTATGATTTCATTTAGAGTTTTGATATTTTCTGAGGTCCGATATTCTAATTGTACGTTCATTAGGGACCAACATCGCTCAGAGTTCCACGCCCCGGGTTTGCGCATCTTCTCAAGGACAATATGTCGACACTCTAAAAATAGTCAGAGGATGCAGGATTAACTATATTTCAATAAGCTGGTCGCATTAACGCCTACCTAGTCTTAAAAAAAAACAGATCCTTAGCCAAGCCCATACAACTTGCTACTTCCAGTGGTTAAATGATTAAAAGGTCTACATGTTATAGGCCTCTATGGCTAAGTATAATCAAATGTGCCTATAAATCAATTCAATTATGCCATACAATAAAGGTAATGAAGACTCCTCTAATCTACTGGATCCAATGAATTCGCAAAACTCCAGAATTAATCAAAACTTAACATTTTATTTGTCAGGTAAAATTGTATTCTGCCAATTACATAATAAATCATCAGGAAGCCAAT